GCGGGGAGGAGGTGCGGCGTGTGGCGCGTGAATGCGAGCGGGTCTGGCAGCGGCGAGCGTGAGGTGGGGAGGAGGTGCGGCGCACAGCGTGTGGAGCTGTGAACAGGGCCAACTGATTGGAAGCCGATTAATCGATTATTGAAAAAGTTGACAACTTTTTCAATAATCGATTATAATCGATTATGTCGATTAGTTGTTGCAGCCCTAGTGGCGAGTCTTTACACCAAGCCCGGCTTCCCGAACTGGACTTCCGGTACTTGGTATTCGGTATCGGCAAGTACCGGGAAAAAAAAAAATATCGGTACCTGTACTCGATATCGAAATACTGGTATCGGTGCATCCCTACTGCTAACCAACATTTCTGAGTATGATAGATAGCATGCTCCCCCTCTACGCATTGTGGTTTCTTCGTCTGCGTTCTTGTTGTGTTCTATAATGAAGTATGGGTCGGTTGGAAGAACCACAGTGCTTAGCAGGGAACCAGACATCTGACACACCCAGAAATGTCACATACCCGGTCATCCCTGGAGCCCCTTTAAGTGACATCACGGCTCCCTTCCTCCATGTTCACGGTTGAATACTTACAAAGTTCTGATGGGCGCGGCCTCCGTTGATTGCTTGCTTTCTGCGGCAGATGTCTGTTTCTCCCGGCTGCGCCTGCACGGGACATCCCTGCTGACTGCTATGGGGCTTGTCCTAGCCCCAGATGGGAGATGAGTTCCATAGAAGTCAAAGGGGCACGAGCAGAAGAAGACATCTGTCACAGGATGTCCACAGTCAATGTACGCCGGGCCCATCGGAAGGTTATTCATCTGTGCACGTGGCGGGAAGGAAGTGATGATGTCACTTTAAAGGGGGTCTAAAAAGTCGGTGCATTGTCATAGAAACAGCACAATGGGATATTTGGTGATGGAGTACGTCACAGCGATGCTTGTCAGGGGCGCTGTGGCTTAGTTGGTTAAAGCGCCTGTCTAGTAAACAGGAGATCCTGAGTTCGAATCTCAGCAGTGCCTGGTGTTATTTTAGCTCCGATGGGCTCTGTCCGCTAAATCTACACTGAACATATGGAAAGACCCTTCAAGGGTTCATGCTGAAAATGGCACTTTCGTCAAAATGCAGAAAGTACCATCTTTCTACCAAAATTGCGGTCCGTTTCTGGTTTTTTTCCTCCCCACAGGGCGCTGCTCTGTGTCCAGCGGGGAGGAAAGAAACTGTCAGTGGAGGCAAGGGGGCTGCCTTTTGGATCACACCAGGGCTGTGTTTTGGATCACACCAGGGCTGCGTTTTGGATTAGACATGTGAAATTTCGGAAATTCGGATGTATCCGAATTACAGCTAAAATGAATGCAAACGAATCCGAATTCCCGATTTCCTGAAATTCGTTAACAGTAGTCCGGTCGAAATTACGCTTTTGGACGAAAATGACAGCAAAATTACATTAGGGAAAAAAAAATAGAGGAAGTTTTTTTTTTTCAGTTTGCAAAAGATGAAAAAAAAAAAAAAGCGTGAGGTTCCATTAATTAAAAAAACAAACAAACATTCAATTTTTGACTATTCCTTTAATAAAAAATAAATAAAAATGGCTCCATTTTCTGCAAAAAAAAAAAAATCAATTTTTTTTTTCCTAATGTCATTTTGCTGCAACGAAATTTCGACCGGACTACCGCTAACGAATTTCGTCCGAATTCTGAAACAAATTTAATTTCGGACCCGAATTCGAAAAACAAAACGAAACAAATGTTTTGCTGGTGCACATGTCTATTTTGGATCTCGCCAGGGCTGCGTTTTGGATCTCGCCAGGGCTGCGTTTTGGATCTCGCCAGGGCTGCGTTTTGGATCTCGCCAGTGCTGCGTTTTGGATCTCGCCAGGGCTGCAAGTGGGGCTCTCTAGGGCTGTATCGGCTATTGCCAGACTCCCCAGGGCTGCGATCACGTGTCTCCATGGCTGCACCGGCGGGCACCCACGTATAGCTTGTGAGGGTGTTGGGTATCAGCTATGCAAATTAAACATTTCCCTAAAATTACAATTTAAATGGTGGAATGGGGATGCGGGATTTGGAACTCAGAAAAAAAAAAGTTGAATTTATAAGAGGTGCGATAGTTAAATGTGAATATAGTTTATCTCTATGTCATTTTAAATGTTTTAAGTCATTGCAAACAGTTTGCTCTAAAAATAAAAAAACACAAGTGGCCCGTACGGGGATCGAACCCGCGACCTTGGCGTTATTAGCACCACGCTCTAACCAACTGAGCTAACCGGCCATTGATGGAGAGCAGTTTTGCGAGTTGTGTTGAAAAAGAAAACCGAAATCACAGGGAGGTGAGGTCCCTATCACCACAATTGAGGAGTTTTTCTTTTAAACAATATGCTCATTGAATAAACGAGTTACTGGGAGCGCAACAGTCGGGACGGATCCCAACAATACTGTCTGGATCCACCCAGCTGCGTGAGTGACAGCTGGCTCTGCCTATCTGGAGACAGCCAGCTCTGCCGCCCCCTGCCCAGTTCCTTCCTCCACTTAGCGCTGGGGAATCCCTGCAGGGAGCCATGAGTGACAGTCACGCCTCTCTGCAGGGAGATGATCGGAAAGTGAGCAGATCGGCGGCATGTTTCTGCTTGCTTCCCGATCAATAGAGCCGACCTGTGACAGTTTCTTTGTCACAGGTCGGCTCTAACTATGAGGATGAGTAGAAATTACTGACCTCATAGATCTCCGTTAAGTTCCCAAATCGCCAGTTTAGCAGCTTTGTATGTTATGTCGCATTATGTGAAGTTTTCCTTTTTAAATACCTGTTTTTGGTTTTTATGAGTCCCTAACCCAATGCTGTGCCCTCCAGCTGTGGGAGCCCATGCTAGTGCTAGTGTGGCCCTCCTCTTCTACCTCTTTGAGGGCTGGCAGTGCTCCGTGTATTGGTGGATCTTTGCTTTCTGCAGGTGAGTACCAGTTACATGAGTGTCCATTAAGGTGTGACAGTCCATAGACTTTCAAGAATCACAGCCCAGTCTGGTTTTGGCTGAGCTATTCAACCCCATTATATGTGCTTGTAGCATCCCCC